CTGCCAATCGCCTCCAACCAACTAACATCTATTAATGTGCACCACGATGCTGAGCTGCCTAGTCTGATCGATAGGATTCGGTCACCACATACGACCAGACAACATCAAGTTGGTTACCCTCCAGTGACCAATCAAAATATTACACAATATTTTGTCTTGCTTAACTCACAACATGGCATCATTTCACGGAATCGCTCATTAACTGGTTCAAGTCCTGTACGGTATTGCAGGCTAACTGGATGATGTTAGTGAGACGATTAAAAACGATGATTGTAGACTTTAAACGATATGGTTTATAATCGATTGCAGTAGTTCAGATGCACAAATAAATTTCACCTCTACCTAGCTTTGATAAAGTACTCAGGATTTATATTTCATGAGCATGGCCAACTATCCAATCTCAAAATTATGCATGATAAATGAAAGAAATGCACAAAAAGATGTGCCTACTCTCCCATCATTCATCGGGTTGACTAAGCATTCTTGTCTTCTTGATATGGTGCCCCCGCTTCGAATCATATGTTGAAAATTACGCTAAATGAGTTGGGTTTTTCGACTGTCAGTGCACCTTTGATAAGCTCAGATTGACATTCAATGCTAAGCATTCACCGATACATTTTGATTTGAACCCTCTTACCACTGCTGTAACAGGAACTTCAAGCAATAGAAAAGACCCATTAGTTCTTGGCAGGGATTTGATGCTGACTCAGCAAATCTGATCGTACAGAGGAATAAAGAAATGAGAGAGGAATGAAGAAGAATGAAGAAAACATTGGCGCTTTACTAATTCAATAAAATTCTGCATGCTATGCATTTCTGTTTACCTACATATTGGTAACCTCTAACAATTTTTGTCTTGAAGAAGAGAAATCCAGTATATTCAGCGAGCATGTTACCAAGCTACAGCTTCAGTATCCGCACACCAGATTTCCGCCAAGCTGAAGTGTTACTCCCTCTGCTCACCAACCTGAGCCCAACACAAGAAGCAATCATAGCAGTTGTCTCCTTTGAGTCAGAGTTACTCTACGCAGCCTACTTGGTGTCATCTCATCTCTGAGGCTTACTGCAACACAGATCAAAAGAAAATATGTAACAACCCCGTACTCCAGCAAGCCATTATGTGAATGACTCATGGCAACCAAAACCACAAACAGGCAGACTACGAAACTTATGTCTTTCAATGATGAGGCAGCTTTTCTACATTTATTCATGTCCTCAGACCATGTGTTTATTCCCAAGTCTTTTCCACCGACTGTCTTCCAATAACCAATTTCAGGTCACTCGAGAATCGAAAGAATAAGCGTCACCACACGTAGCTTTGTATACTTCCCCATAATAGACCAGGAGAGTGCAGACGTAGTTAGATGCTGCTGTTGCTAACAAACAACCTGCAGGAATCTCCTTCTAAACGTGAACACAACCTTACGTAGACTTCATAGGTCGAGTAGAGAAAAAGACGTCAACATAAATTTCAGTAAAAAGTCTTCTTCGGCATCTCTCAGTACTATCAATCTATTACCGTGATTGTCGTCTACAAAACAAAATTTTACACACTCGAACCCCACCACATCACACACAATCTGATAGTCAAGAAGTTTTGGTGGTCATATTCAAGGGATAACTTCCTACTGAGCACGAGACGAAGGATGCTGAACGAGGCTATTTGAGAATTCCCTTTTCTCTGTTGGATAAAGCCGTATCATCTGACCTGTCTTTACCTCAGCAAGCACATTCAAATTGATATGGTAAGTTCGAATTGTCGGAGGCTGGTGTCTTGTCCTGATTTTCGCAGTAACTGCTAGGTATTGCCAAAAAATATAAGCTTCCCGCCAAAGTATGTTCATCATATGGCTTCATTGAAACTCCAGTACATGGTAGATTCCTATACCGGCTTTTTGAAGAAGTAAAGATTATCCTTTTACCTTCTTCACTTCTCCTGTACTTGTTAATGAATCTCATTGGATAATCATTTTTAGACATATTTTAAAGCATTTACCGCATATTTCATCCTGCCACCACAAAAGCGTTACTTTGCTCTGTTAAACAGCGTTTTAAAAAGGCTTATTTTCTAGTGGATCGGTGGACTGAACAAGAATATGCAGTAAGCAAGCCAACGCGACTAAATGACCAGTTGCAAAGGGGTTAATAGGACTAGCAAGTAAGTACTTAACAAACATAGACATGAAACTCAATTACGCACGAATCATACTGTTTCGAAATTCGGATCCCCATGTGGTTAATTCACAATGTCATCCGGTCAAAACTTACATTTCAATGTGGATTTTCCCCCTGAGCATCACCTATTTGTAACGAGAATAATGGCTGGGTCAGAGCTCAGATTGAAGTGTTCATAGGCTGGCTTTTACACTGCTCAAGTGTCTATTATCGAACATTGTCGTGCGCTTTGGTTACTTTTACGGTCCAAGGAACAGAATTATCCCATTAGTGTCTTTCCTACTGAAAATGATATAACCAAACTTGAATGCATACTTTTCACGCTCAATTTTATATCCTCTGCAATATCTTTACGCATATTCAATTGATATATTCATTCTTCCATTCTTACTTTGCTAAGCTTTACTAGCTAACTTAGCTTACATCTCTACCAGTATTACATCATGGTGTATAAATCCAAGTATTGTAGAGTATTCACGTAAAGAGTCCTAAAGAAATCTAAGAACTCGCTAAACCTGGCTTTTTAAAATCTATATCGGGAAATAAATGTTCCCAATTGTTCCCCGACATTCTGTTATCCTACTTTGAAATATATATGATATAAATGAAATTATATCAAGTTTTATCAATAGTTCACCTTAGGGGTAAACTTCATTTGAACATACCTGATATATGATCAATTATCTAGATATGAACAAGTTGGTATCAATCATTTGTTTATATTCTTCATACATAGCGGTTAAGTAAGTCCTGCTTATTTGACTTCTTCCTCTCTATTTCATGTTGAGTCGTATCAGTTGAGTGTGGTTCGTTTTTTCAGCATACGGTACAAAATCACACACACACACACCGCGGTTCCTGTTGAGTAATCAGTCAGTTTGAACTGATAGATTGATGATAATATAGTATTGGGCAGTGGTTAGAGATCATCCTCTCTCTCTCTCTCCCCCTTTGGAGCTCAAATAACTACATATAGTGGCATAGTATTCAACAACTAATTTATTCATCTTTCTTCTGACTCTACCACTATATAACTCCCTTGAAATATAATAGTTAGCAAAGAAGTATTGTGTTTGCGCAGTCTAACAAAGCTATACTGTAATGTTTAGAAGCTTCATTGACCAGTTCAATAATAGGTGGAACCAATTTACTTCTTGCTAGCTTAGCATTAACCCACTTCCAATAGACAGACACAACATTTGAATAACATGATATCGCTAGCTTTTTAAATATCACATCCAGGTGGTATTATTGATAAAAACATTCGGTGTTTTCCGCATAAGGAAAAAAGAGTACATAACCTCCAGTTAATTTGCATTTAGAGTCTTGCTTGCAATAAGGCCAGATTATAAAACACAGCATCAGAGTATACTTTGTACAAATTGTTTTCTTATTGTGTCTGCCCTAAGCAGAATATTAAGCCGCATCATTCTGGAGAGACTAAAAGATGCTCTGGACTCAAAATTACGACCGGAACAAGCTGGCTTCAGGAAGAAGAAGTCATGTGCGGATCAAACTGTAACGCTACGCTATGCATCATCATAGAATAGAGCATCGAATGGCAGTCAACTCTTCACCGCAACTTCATCGACTTTGAAAAGACCTTCTACAGCGTCGACTGGAAAGTAATTTGGCAGTTACTTCATCACTACGGTTTTAGTATCACAAACCTTTATCAATCTCATTATATAGCTATATGCTATATGATGCTACATGCCAAGTGATTCACAACGGAAAACACAGTGATGTCTGTGCAGTGAAGACAGGAGTAAGACAAGACAAGACTGCCTACTATCAACGATCATCTTCCTGATTGTGGTCGACTGGATCATGCAACAAAGTGTGAGGAGCGAGAAGATGGGCACACGCTGTTTGATCGATGAAAAGACCAGACACGATTTGGATTTCACCGATGAGGATTTATGTCTAATGTCTTGTCCCACAAGCTAGAAGATTTACAGGCAAAAACCAACAAGATGGTAGAACACGTGAGGCAGCAAAGCAACACGGGACTTCCTTCACGTGGACGTAGAGAAAACAGAGGTGATGAAAATACCCAATCAACAACAACAACAAGCACCAATCACCATCAATGGGAGAAATCTAAACGAAGTTGTCTCTTTCACCTATCCACCTACCTAGGCAACATCGTCTCAACTACGGGGGCGGCACAGATGAGGATGTCAAAGCCAGCATCGGATAGACAGTAAGACAGGCCTTCCTTCACTAATCTGAAATCAGTGTGGAGATCTACTGCACTCAGCATAAAGCGTAAACAAGATTCAGATTTTCAAAATTAATTTAGTCAAGTCAGCGCCTCTATGTGATGGTTGAGAGACTTGGCACGTTGCAAAAAGCTTTTCCAACAAACTACACACATCATCATCATCATCAACAGCTGCCGCCTACGCTCACTCCATACTGAAGATCAGATGGATGGCCAGAATAATAAGAATAAGCAACAAAAAACTCTGGCTGGCTGGCAACGAACCAACCAAGCAACAACCTATCGCCCAACATATATACAGAAGAAGAAAGTCGAGATGGATTCAATTGGATTGAACAAAGCATAAGAAGACCGGTTGGGAACATCATGCGCCAGGTTGGGCCATGCCCTCAAGTGGGAGCCAAATGGGAAACGACGAGTTAGGTGTCCGAGGTGAGGGTGACATGGAAGAGATCGTGTGAGGAAAGAGTGAAAGGTTATGGGCAGTCGTGGATCCAGGTTGGAAAGACCGGAGAGAAGAGATTGAAATGGCGATGTGCTACTGAAGCTCTATGTTCCACTAGGAACCCAAGGGACAAATAATAATAATTTAAGGAAGTGTTACATAAAAACATTATTCTTTTGATTTTAGGTAAATAGTTGTAGACCATAAACCACAATAAACTGATGATATAGTCATCCTTGATGACATGTGTTGACTTTTTAAAAATGGATGTTTTAACGGTGTATCCACGGCTTCTACAGATGAATCCAATCCCAACTGGCCATATCCATTCCAACCGAAGCAAAATAGATCACCAGCTTCCGTAAGGCATACTGTATGACGACCTCCACAAGCGATCTGACAGAAAATCATTGAAAACTTTAATATGAGATACATTTATCAATACAGTTTAACAACATCAGCATTTAGTTATTACAGCTGAACAATGAGTGATAAAACAGCAAGTGGTAGTATGTATGAATAGGCTTGTTAGTTAGCTATGGTGAACATGTTATATGTGATTTAGGTAAAACTTTCAGTGATATCGACAGAAGTCTTAAAAGGATATTTACATCATGTAGGTGTATGTCGTACTGGAAAAACTGGAACGTACTCAGCAACCTTGTGCACGTGCATGCACTACTAGGCAGTGGAACCACACTTGTATGAAGGCCATTGGTGATACTACCTGGCTGCCCAAACCTCAGTAGGCTGAGCGGTATTCGAACCTATGAAATATTGGTTGAAGGTCAACTGCCTAGACCAATGAGTCACAGATCCACTGTGTATCGGAATAATACCGAATGAAACCTAATTCACTCTCCCACACCAGGAAAGTACTAATATTTCGCAATATTAAACTGTTCACGGTAAACTTCTAATTTACATCATAATGTATATACGTACGTTCCATATGAGAAAAGATAGACATGCTGGAGGCAAAGTAATATAGACTAACGCATATTACTGGATAATAAATATAGTACATCGTATGCGACAGCTAAAAATGTTACACTTTTCAAAATAATAGTAATAATAGTAACATGACACTGAATAATACAAGACAGAAAAATAAGCAAACGAAACAGAAAGAAAAACGTTACATCAGTATAATGCCCACTGGATAAAAAATGACCAGTTTAAAGGAATGTTATAAGAGGCTTCCAATGATACATGATATGGAATAAACTACGATGGTTTTCATCTACAAACTTTCATACAGGGTCCACATATAAAACAATTGACTTTGAGTGATAAGATCAGCAACCAGTTATGTAGGTTGCACAGCAAAACATAATGACTTCACAAACAGTCGATAAGTACCTCAATTTGAAAAGTGTAGTAAACTTAGAATACCAGTGAGTGTGCTACACAGTGAGGATGTCGACAACATACCACCTACCTAATTTATTTTACATACAATCTGTACTTCTCAGTATGCTGTCATTTAAAGGTAAAGCGAAGTTGAATTGTTATTATTAGCAATAGTACTACTACTAACCATGAACTATCATAACAGACGCATAGGCAAAGCCAACGTAAAACCTCGCACAGAAGTGCATCCATTCAAGCTGTTATACTTCACAGTACCATGCAAATAGCAAGCTGGAGGAAAAGAGGAAGCTTAACAAAATGCACAAGACTTTGAAAATGACAAGGAGTTTACACATGCACCATTATGACTGGTTTTCAGTTATGTGAACGATGGTCTTTAACAATTAGTTCCCATAATCTTGAGCGCCTCAAGCCAAACAGTCCATAAGGTTCAGATCAGATTTCATTGACTGGTGTTACACCTTAATCTAGCCAGGCTGAACCTTCTTCCAACCCAATTCTAATTCGACTATAATTGCACGTCAAGGTAAATGGTGGCTCGGCATACGCGACGCATGTCTTTCTTCAGCGGCCACGTCTCACAGTTGTATAATAAAAGAGAGTGAACCACAGCATAGTATAATCACCCTTTAATAGTTGAATATTCCAGTGCCAAACATGACGCAAGTTGGTAAGTGAGAAATTGGCTTTCTGTGTCCGATCTCAGATTTCATCAGCAACCAATGCATTTTCACGAATGCAATTTTCCACCTATGTGAGTTGATCAATGCGTCCTACCATTTAATGCCCGATGCTTAAACGGAGGGTAGCTGCCAACCAGTCCTGGAACATTTTAGATTAGACCGGTACAAAACGCATCCCAGACATTCTCAGACTTCAGCTCAAGGTGTTCAGAAGACCTTCTTTACATTTTTTTTCAGCGTCTAAGTTTAACACGACAATATTGCCTACGTACTGCAAGTCACCTAGATGCCCTCCAGGGAGTAGATCAGTTCCTGTAAAGCTGGAGATGCCTAGAATTATGTCAATTAGTATGTTTTTAAGGAAGTTAAACAAGAACGATGATAATAGGCACCATTGGTTATCGTCACTTTAGATGACAACTTCCCATAAGCCCTTACACGGTTTTAAGAGTATCATCAAAACACATATGGTCAAATACGACTTCAGGTAGACTTAAGCCAAGAAATGTGACGTACAAATTAGTTGTGTCCTGACTTCACCTAGTCATATTCAACGTAGATATTCAAACAAGTGATCAATTTAACTAATCCTTTAAAAAGCTTTACTCAACATTTTCTTTGGTGAATGTGTTCGACAGGAAATTGAAAATATTTCACATTACCTAGTCTACTATTTTTACTACTGAAGACTGAACTAGTGCGTCTGATTCATTGCAGCAAATAAATTCTTAAATAACAGTTGCAACAAAACTGACTACCTTTGCGATGTTATAAATGTTTGAGGTTGCTTTCTCAAATAACGACGAAGAGATAATACGATATTGGAATTGGACTACTGGTACCTGCGTTTACACTAACAGGATGGTTCCACCATTGCCTACCATCAGCTTGTCACATCTACTTCAGTCTCCCTTTACACTACTTTTGATACCTTTTTCCTCTTTTCCTTTACTTGGCATATTTTTGCAAGCGGCTTTAGTGAGCTGAAACTGCCAAACAGTCTCTGGATTTAAGCTTGGACTATATATATATGCCACTCACGATTTCCAAACTCAAATTTCCGTCGCACCACAAGGATTCGTCAGGGATCTTAGTATTTTTCCAATGGCCTGCATCAATGTTGGATTATTATCGTATTTTAGTATGTGATCACTATGAAACTTCGTTTTGTAGGCTTGAAACAATATCCTATGGCCAGTTCAACAATGGTTAGGTATGAACAATACACGCTTTGACTACCTCACCCAATACACTTTTATAACTGCATTGACTAATTTACCTTTCCTGTTTAAAAACTACAGAAACAACTGCAGTGTTATTTAATCAACAGTTAAGCAATATATCAGCTGTGCTTTGAACATGGATAGTTTAATGTACATAACGTCGCTGCGTAATCCACTTATATAGCAGCAGGAAAGACCTTTTCCTATTGATTGTTAAAGAGAAAGACTTTATAGGGATGAAGCAAATAGAGGTGAAGGAGATAAAAAAATGAACTGATCAGGAATCAAACGTTTTTTAAATAAGAAGTGTTTCCTATGTGTTGGAAAACTGTTTGGTTCATAGTAGTTGGTAATCCATTTCATGACATAAAACACTAATAGACACAGCTAAGAGAAGATATTGAGTTGCTTAGCATACAACCCAGAAATAATAATTTTGTTAATTATCTAGTTTTAAGATAATATGCTTGACAGCCTTATAACCTGGAGATATTTGCCAAGAAACAGTTGAGAAACGAACTATAAAAATCAGAAATGACATTTTGAGAATAATTTCAGTGTATTAGGCAGATAATTTCTACATCCTGAAGTCCCTACTGAGTGAATCTGTGCATAGTTGAGCATCTGCTAAGGTGTACAACTACCCAAGAACATATCCCGAAGATAGCCTTCAAGATGTATCTGAATAAAACGACCATGTGTTACTATACCAGGGTTCTTTTCCCGATCGAGTAAAGTACACCGCTTCTTATCATTTCACTATGACAAGATTAAAAGATGGCAAGAAGCTACTTTGTATCAGACAAATCAGTGTAGAAAATGAAACGCAAATCAAATATTACGCTGAAAGATGCTCACAATATTAACCTACTGACTGAAATCCCATGTTCAAAAAAATTTCCAATCAATAAAGTTTGTTAACGAAATACACCATACCTGGGAAATATATAGCTCATCGGGAAAATCTACGGAGTCGGTAAGGCGAGTACAGATATACAACTTTGTCGTTCACCCTCATCCATGAACGTTGATTTATTTCTGATTCCAAGTGACTTGTGTCCAAGTTGGCCATGTTCATTCCAACCCCATGTATAAACATCACCTGTATCTAAATTTCAAGAGGAAGCATATTATAGTGAACTTTAACTTACCAGTTAAACACACCGAGTGCCAATTGCCACTAGAAATTTGAGTAACAGTCAAGACTTGCAAAGCTTCGATCAAAGTCAGTTTCATTCGATCAGATAAATCACCTAAGCCTAACTGGCCCCGACTTGGAATACAAACACTTGATTGATTAAAACAACTTACCTACCTTCCTATACCTTGACTAAACACTTGTCCTGAGAAGGTTAGGCATAATAAAAACCCTGAACCGCATGATATCGATCTTATTTTTATTGAAGTACTAAACGGACGGTCAACTGAGATGATCCCCTCCAACTTACTGACCTTTAAAAGATAAAGCAATTCATCTAGGAATGAAATACTACTGAATGAGGAAGTTCAAAATACCTTTTAAGTAAAATACATTTTGACCATCTGAAGCTATTTGAGTTACACCTGATACATGACCATAAACTTCAGTACCGCTATTCTTCTCAATAGCAAGTATGCATGCAGGCGTTTTCACAAAGACCCATGAGTCATTTGACGCAGCAGATGTGATTGAAGAGTTCAAACTTTTTTCTTGTAACAAACCATACAGAATGCAGGATGATGATGCCGAATCTACACTAAACTTGTTAAAACAGAAGGTGTAAAATACCAAGCGAAAATATTGAACAATGCCAATCAGAATAAATCAAACGACCAGTTGGTTTGAATTCAAAAGATGATTCAAATTCTCCAGTACGACTACGATGTGCTCCCGAAGTTAGAACTAATTCTTCTTTCGAAAGCTTCATAAATTTGGTACCTGGAGTCAAATGGGTTCAAATATGTGGATTTTTAACCTTCATTTCATAATATATTAGTGGTGAAAGTTGAAAAAAACAACGTCTTCTTACTTAACAAAGGGAATTTGAATGGTCTACAAGGGATGGGATAATGTAAACTATAGACAGTTTAATGTAGTTCGAATTTTTGGAGGTTGCTCATGCACCAGGCTATTGTTATCTCAAGTGCACTTGCAAACTGAGACCATTCAATGTTTTGGTGTATACACGTATGACTGTAGGTGGACTGACTAGACTCTTTGAAATATGGCGGTGTTTAATCACTTTGAAACAAAGCAATTGTTGCATCCCGTTTCAAAAGGATCGTGTGACGTACATGATAACCATAGGGTTATCAGTCTGCTACTAGTAGCATCTACGATACGGAGCAAAACAAACGGAAAACTGATAGTAATTATTCGGGAGACAGATGCCAAGAGTATGTAGAAATAATGGAGAGTTAATTACTACATAAATTATGCGTCAGTCTTAAGTAATACGCATATTAGGCCGGCTGGCTTATGTTAATCCTTGCAGTAGATTCCTACGTAAAGATAAAGTTTCTCAATGAATGCGTTCACCTACAAAGCTGACGTGACTTGCTGACGTACGCAGATTACGTCAGTAACCACACTATCAGATAAACGCAAGTTTAAGCTAGGACTGAAGAGGAAAATAGTAGGGTTTCATGCATTACATCTATGTTTTCTTCGATTCTCGAAAAACAAGTAGTTTCCTGTTCACTCCACAGCAGTGCTCGCACAAATATATAAACATTATTAGCCAAATAATAATGAGTTAATGGGTAGCTTGAAAACACTTAGCAATTCCCTCCAAAACGCCACGAGTTTCTACCTATACTGAAGTTTATATCGGTTTATCAGCCGTATATCAATCAAACCACTATAAATGGCTTCAGGCCACAAAAGAGTACCAAATCTTGCTAGTTGTGATTGTAAAATTATGCATACTACTTTGAAGAATTGTGTTTCAGTTTTTGTTCTTTACGAGTTCTCACTCACATTTTTGAAAAGCTGCTGCCGGTCAATATGCGCCTACACCACCTAATAATCAACATCTCTTTTAAGAGCCTGTGCACACCCGTCGACCCCGTTACACTTAGGTCTAGGTCTTGTACAACGGTTTCAGGTCTTTGATCGATTCTAATGCAACAGATCCAGTGAATCACTACATCTAGGGTAAAAAAGGAGAGTGGTTGGGTCTTGATCAGATTTTTAGGGAGACGTATCATTTCTATTGGGATCGGTGCACAATAGGGATATTCAGATGTCGTGTCGCCTTAAAATCGTTCGGACTGGGTGAGAAAAGACAAGGAGATTCAAGTGGATGTGAATAGCATAGTTCTCAACCTGCGGTCAGACAAATCCGCATCTGACAAGGAGTTGAATTCAGACCCCTTAAGTGTCAGCGAAGGGCTGTGCTACGCGGGAAGACAGGCTGCTCTTAGTTGCGAGTAAATACTAGTAGGAAACGTTCTGATTCGTACCCCTTTTTGCAGCTGCCACGCCATACTAACGCGTGGTATGATTGTTAGTGAACGACTTTCTTGGGAAAGCTCTTACCCCCTTCTCTGCTCCAGCAATTCAGACCTAGTGGCAACGAACCAGAGTGTTTCGAAGAAGCCATGGTCTCACGAGTGTCGTATCCTACAAATTCACCATCACTAGAAAATTTTAAACCAAGAGGACAGCAAAAGACAATTGGTGGTTCTCTATAAAAGCGTCAGATCATAGTGCATACGCAGCTGTAAGGAGCTCACGCAGCCGCCATCATCCAAACTACCATGTAGAACGTGACGAAGATATGAATTTCTTGAGTTCCAAAGCCCGAACAGAAGCCAATCAAATTCAAAACTTTCAGCTGCGAAGCAAAGAATATATGCTCAAGCTGTAGTGGAACTCTGTGAGGATTGTTCTTCACAGCAAAATATACATTGGAACTGTAAAAACAAAACTTCAATTTTACAGTTACTATGGCTCCCGAGCAAATCAGAATAAATGGTGATACGAATCATAAAAAAAACTTCGGTGTAATGAAATCAACAAGTCGAAGTCACACACAATAAAAGAATAGTATGTCTGAATACATGGCGACCATAAAGCTAAAAAATGCGACTGTAAAATCGAAAAGAGTGGGTGTGGGGCGGGATAAGGGTTACTTTCAGCCAAGCTTTGTCTATAAACCTGAGGCAGTCTTCAAAAACCTGCATCTACTCATGGGGTCAGAAAATCTAGTAGCCATACAGCACATGTTCCCGACCGATAGCTGCTACCTTGACGTCGTGGTCGGGCTTGCATATCACAATGACCCAACGAGCTATGCTGGTGGAACGCTTGTTCCCTCGAGGTCCTACCATACCAGAAAGGTCTGTTGGGTAGTGGTTAGACGAAAAGCAGTTACCGTTATAGTGTAAATTGCTACACTATGATGGGGGTCTGAGGGCGAAGTCGTACTGCTGCTAGCTGGATGGGGTGTGACAGCAGTAAGGTGTTTCCCTTGGATGACCAGCAGTGCCATGCTGATGCTGCCTTCTCAGTGGAAGGGGGGGTTAGAAAAGGTCGGCCCCAAAAATAACACACTCCACCACGCCCCACGGTCTGCCGGGCCGGCGGTGTTGGTTCACTTGTCGTTTCCTTTCCACCATCCGGCCCCAAAAATACAAAATTCAAAATAATCATACTCAAAAGGCTGGGTGTGACAGGCCTCAAGCAGATGTCCGATGGGCTCTGCGGTCACACAAATCTCTTTCAGGTACCTTAAGAAGAAATAGCCTTCCACGGTGTGGGCAGCCGGGAAGTGTCAACCGCCCTCACAACTCTGTCAGCACCCAAGTTTCTTCTGACTGCTATCCTCCTCCTCCATCATTACCTTCTAATCTTCCTTCACGTCTCTTAATTAATGATGCTGCATCATCTTCAATTTCTCCTACCTCTGCAGCCTTCGACAACGATCTGAGTCCACAGAACAGCATCCCTGGTCTCCTTAAACCACGCTCCAAATTACATATTGGAGCCTTCAATGTCCGCACCCTCCGTCAAATTGGCCAACAGGCTTCGTTGGCAAAGACTCTAGCAACTCGGGCATGGATGTGTGCTGTGTTTGTGAGACACGCATACAGGACCCAAGTGTGGTTATTCACCTGACCTCTCCTGACCAATCTGGTGAATCGCAAAATTCACCCTTCGAGTTTCTGGAGATTCGATAGCTAGCTCTCGTGGTCTTGCAGGTGTAGGTATAGCATTAAGCACCAGGGCAGAAAACTCACTACTAGACTGGATCCCAGTTGATAGTCGCCTCTGCGCTATGAGGCTGAACGGCACAGTGAGAACTAAAAGGAATAGTGAGACTCGCCGTTGTCTCTTTGTAATCTCTGCTTACGCACCCACTGACTGTAGTTCGGATGAAGTGAAGGACGAGTTCTACCATAAACTGTCTAACCTCCTCTCGAAAGCCAAACGTTCGGACGTAGTGGTTGTTGCAGGTGACCTCAACGCACAGGTGGGTAGACTGAGTGAGGCAGAAAGGCACTTAGGTGGCACTTTCGGAATCCCAGCTGAACGTACAGATAACGGTGATCGCCTATTACAACTATGCTCAGATAACCGCCTATTTTTAGCCAGCACAAATTTCAGACATAAAGAAAGGCACTGTCTGACCTGGCGTCCACCGAGCTCGACTCAGCGATGGACACAGATAGACCACATTGCTATTAGTCATCGCTGGAGAGGATCGGTGGAAGACTGCCGCTCCTTCTGGAGTACGTGTTTGGACAGCGATCATGCGTTGGTCCGAGCACGTATATGCCTGCGTCTCAATGGACGTAGAAAAAATTTGGCAACAAAACCACTACGAGTTCTGCTGGACAACGAAAACACCAAAGCCGTGTTCAGTGAGAAGTTGGCTAGGCAGTTATCGGAACAAAAGACTGTCACTCATCCAGAAGAAGCTTGGTGCCATCTTCAGTCTACTGTAAAAGCAGCACTGGAGACTGTAGCCGACTCCAAGATAATGGCTAAAAAGAGCCAGTGGATATCAGCAGCTTCTTCCAAACTAATGGATGCACGTGAATGCATCCCTGCAGGCTCTGAGTACAATGAAGAGCGAGCGCAACTTAAAAATAACTGACGAAAAGTCTGCGCAACGATCGTGAACAGTGGTGGGCAGCAAAGGCTAAAGAGATGGAAAAGGCAGCGGCGATCGGTAACAGTAGACAGTTATTTAGACTTATTAAGGAGACTGGGGGGAAATGGTCAACAACAGTTAGTGAGGTTATAGCGGAGAAGGACGGATCGATTCACTCGCAGGGAAGGCGACTGGACGATGGGCAGAACACTTTGAGGAACAGTTTAACTGGCCTCCAGCCACCATTGCGCTGCCCGCTATCCAGTCGGACCCTGAATGGGACATAGAGACAGGTCCCCCAACACTAGAAGAAGTTGAGAAAGCGGTAGGTAGCCTGAAACGGGAAGGGCAGCAGGACCAGACGGACTACCTGCTGAGGTATACAAGAATGGTGGTAGAGTTCTCTTAGTCAGGCTAACGGAAGTGTTAGCCAGTATATGGGAATCAAATACGATCCCCTCCGACTGGTCTAAGTCACTCATCATCCCAGTCTTCAAGAAAGGCGAGAAGTCCTCTTGTGATAACCACAGAGGAATCAGCCTGACAAACATAGTGTCTAAGATCCTAAGTTCTATAATTCTCCGACGCCTGAGTGGAGCTCGGGAACAGCAAGCCCGAGAAAACCAGGCAGGCTTTAGACCTGGCCGTGGATGTATCGACCAAATATTCACACTGCGCCAGGTCCTGGAACATAGGCATGCTTACAGACGCCCGACAATAGCTGTATTTCTCGACCTGAAGGCGGCATTTGACTCCGTTGATCGAGAAGTCTTATGGCAGTGTCTGTCACTGAAAGGCGTGCCTAGTAAGTACATCACCTTATTGAAAGCTCTCTACTCGAACACTTGTGGGCATGTTAGAGCCTATGGTGAGTTGTCCAGGGAGCTATACTCATCAAGTGGTGTCCGTCAAGGATGCCCACTATCCCCATTCTTATTTAATTTTATCATAGATATTCTTATGGAGGTTTCCCTCTCGTCACCTAATTACAAAGACGTTGACCGATCACAGGTGAATTTTCCTTAGATCTAGAATATGCAGATGACATAGTCCTGTTAGGTGAAGACGCTGACAAGATGCAGAGTCTTCTGAACACTTTGAGTGGGAATTTGAGAATGTTTGGGATGCGATTTTCACCACCCAAATGCAAATTTTTGCTCCAGGACTGGTCTTCAGCGGTACCGCGGTTAACAATAGAGAGTGAAGTGGTTGAGTGTGTTGACCACTTCACTTACCTGGGAAGTAGGATCAACCCGGTGGGTTAGTTGCCGATGAGATTTCTGCACGGATACAAAAGGCTCGATTGGCTTTTGCCAATTTGCGCCACCTATGGCGCCGCCGTGATATTCGTTTGTCTATTAAGGGTCGCGTGTACTGCACAGCAGTCCGCTCTGTTCTACTGTATGGCCATTGAAAGTGGAAGATATAAAAAGGCTTCAGGTGTTTGACCACCGTTGCCTTCGTAGTATAGGACGTATTCCGTGGTGTCACCATGTGAGTAATGCAGAAGTTAGGTGTAGAGTTTTAGGGAGAAGAGGTAAGTCAGTCGACGAGGTTGTGAACCTTCATCGACTGAGATGGTTGGGACACGTACTACGTATGCCTAGTCACCGATTGCCTCGTCACACAATGTTGGCTGAGGTGGGTTCAGGCTGGAAAAAGGCCCGAGGTGGCCAGACTAAAACATGGCACCAATGTATGAAGTCTCTGACTGTTGGTTTAAGCCATGTAGGACGATGCAGACTAGGTGGTTGGGGTCCACGGGACAAGAGGAACCAGTGGTTGGAGACCCTAGGTGATATGGCTCAGAACCGAAGTCAGTGGCGCAGATGTATACACACATTATCCTCATCTTAACAACGCTATACCGAATCTCACTATTTTGTCACTCCTCTTTCCTTTCTTCTCGTACTTTATATTTCTTTTGACTGCATTCACTTATCTTCATCCTTCACCTCACTACCTTTTTACTTGATGTGCTGATATGAGGTGTGGCAACTCGGACCGTTACGCAGTAATGCCTGGTCCTATGTTGATAATGATGGTGATGATGACAGCACGTGTTATAAATACTAGATTGTGGGGAAAACTACTGGACTGTTATCGAAACTTTCCTTCCCATTTTCTATATGCAGCTGAATAACCAGAGACCAAAGCGTACGTTCAAACCGACCAAAATGCCTTCTACACTACCAAGTATAACGAGATATATGGGTTGTAGATAACTCTTGATATAGTTCTTGAAAGGCTATCAAAGCTTCGTGCTGGAAAATTCCCATTCTGTGGAGATATTCACCTGTCTGTTTCGTAACAATACACGGGTGCACTATGATAATAATAATAATAATATACTTCATAAGACATAAGGCATGTGAAAACAAACCAGTTCACTGGTATGGTCACTTTGGTAATATGAACTCATTTTTACGCGCAATAACAAGCAGTGCATAAGACAACGTTATTTAAGGCACATAGATGGGTTTAGAGAAAGAACGCTAAAGCTTCGCAGGCAAAGAAAAAAACATATAAACACAAACATAATGGTTTGGCAGACTAAAGCAAGTTCAATTCGAAATCAGGAATTATTCAGCTATTGTTTGAACCATGGTGGTCGCACATATATGCGACCACCATGAGATCTTTTCAGCACTCCATGTATGAACACCAGCTTCCGCATGGGTGAGGACATACCGTCAACTCACTCATCTTCAAAGGAGGATACGGAATCACATGTGCTACTGATCTGTCATGTTTCTACCAATGGTATCATATGGAAATCGAGAGATTGTGTTGGCAGATAGATATCATTTTAACAGTGGTTTAAATGGTTGCTAATTCTGCTCAAAAATCAAAACGGCATGTTCAACCTACACTCTGACACTCAACAACAAGATATCACTATCACATAAAACTATGGTATACTCACCAATGAACACCCACCTTGAACTTTATATGTGGTGAAACCTACACTCAGAGTTTTGATACCTTAAAATTCTTACTTCCTGCATTTTCGCAGCATTCGTTGTTGCTTTTATCATCTAATGTTTCATATTACTATTTCAGTTACTGTAACAAATAACTTAAATTTAGCGCGCTGAACACAAACAACATCCAACATCAATAGTGCGAGCAGAGGGAACTTGCAGTTTTTGAGCTTCCGCCCCTAGGTCTTGAGGCTTAATTCTTTTTGTTTGGTCGTACTCCTTCGGTGGCCGCAGAAGTCTTTGCGTTTCCCTGCTTATAGCTTGAAAGGTAGTGTTTGTCTATTTGAAGGTGTAGCGTCACACACTTCCCCAAAATCAATAGCCTAGGGTTTGACGACTTCGACATTGATGCTGACTTTGAGGGTTTAACTGGACTCGCTAAGCTGAAGGCACCCGGTCAAGCATCCTCGCCATTTGGCACGCTGTCGTGTTACGCTGCACTGCTCGTATTCGACTGTCTAGCCAGTTAGTTGGAAAGCATCAGTATCTTGGCACAACCATCCAAATATACTATTCCATCTGACTACGCTTTCGTGTTCTTCCTTGGTCTCGTATTCGTAGGTATATAACAAGTCCGAATAATTAGTGATTGGCCTTTGTGTCTGTCAAGTTCGCACAAGGACAAGTCCCAAGAAGATATTTTATTTGCTAATTGTATCTTGGTTTGTTAGGGGGAGCAACGGAGCTGCTGATAGGATCAATCAACCATTCGCGATTCCTGCTGTTCTAGGCACCTGCAAGTAAGTGTTAAGCGTTACTTAAATAGTGATAGAAACGGGGTGAGTGGGGAATGATACAAAGAGAAGTGAATAGTACTTTTGGATAGATAAATGTGACTGGTGGTAACATAGTGGAGATATGCGTCTTACTGCAGATAACAGGGTTGGGAGGTAGAGGGGGAATACAGGGGTGGAAGGACACATCATCGGCTGCTACTAACAAATGTTTGTGGTAAGCTATTTGCGCCCACATACTCGTCCAGTAGTCGTTTGAAGAAGTTGGCCGATGTAGGTGTGCGCACTTTTTTCGGCAGCGCGTTCCATAAGGCACATACTCTATGGGGGAAGAAGTTAGATGTTACCCTGGTCTTCGCCCTATGGTGGGATATGCGAGTGGGGTTCCCACGGAATTGTCGGTTTTGGACCGATAATGTTGTCCTATTTGGGTGGTTCACTTGGTGAACGATCTTGTAGGCTGTTATCAGATCACATCGTTTTCTTCGATAACTTAGCGTGAACAGGTTGAGTTGTCCAGGCCGTTGTGCATATATTTTGTCCGTTAGTCCGTCAACCAACCTTGTTGCTCTTCTTTGTACCTTCTCGAGAGAATTTGCATCTCTCTTTAGTAGTGGAGAGGCTATCGTGTTGAACGCCTCTAGGTGTGGTTTAACGTAGGTTTTGAATACCATAAGGAATAACTTTGGGGGTTAACAATCCAAGCTGCCTTCTTAGAAAGTGCATAGTGGCGTTCGCCCTTGCTGCCACTCCCTTATAAATACCAGTAGTATCCAGTGTGTCAGGGACGTTTAGTCCCAGGTCCTCCTCTGTGGATACCTTAGTGATTGCACGCTTATTAAGAGTGTAGTTGATTTTCGTCGCCTATGGTGTGCGAAGGTACATCACCTTGCACTTCTCCAAATTAAAGCCTAAACCGTTTGCAGCTGACCAGGACTCCAGCCGCAAGAGGTAGTTTTGGAGTATCCTAGGATCCTCTTCGTCGCCTATCGTCCTCCACATTTTGATGTCATCGGAGGAATAGAAGGATAGATCAGGAGATTTTAGTGAGGAGGTGGTTTATGAATAGTGGAAATAGGAGTGGTCCAAGAATTGCTCCTTGAGGAACTCCTATTCTTGCTTTCCCTCAGGTTGATCGAGTTCTGTTTACTTTAGTGCAGAATTCTCTATCCTCCAGGTATGCCGTAAGCCATGCTAAGAGTGGTTCAGTGATACTCACTCTTGCTAGTTTGGCGAGCATAATGCGGTGTGGGACGCCATAAAAAGCTTTGGCCAAGTCCAAGGGGATAACGTGAACTTGTTGTCCCATCTAGTGGTCCAGTCATCCCAAGTGGTCATCATATTTGTGGCGCATAACCACCCGGTTCTGAAGCCATGCTGGGTGGGATGGACGATGTCGTTTCAGTTAAGGTTGTCACAAACAACATCTGCAACCAGGATTTCCAGTACCTTTGAAAGTATTGGGAGTAATGCTATTGGTCTGTAGGTACATGGGTTCTTTCGGTCTCCTTCTTTGAAGATTGGTGACAGGATGGCGCGTTTCCATTCTCTGGGGAGTTGACTTACTTCCACTGAGTGCGTGAACTGGTTGCGTAGGGTACGCCTGTTACTTTGGCACAGTTGCGTAGGACAACTGGCTTTATGTCGTCACAGCCTGGGGATTTCCCTATTCTCAGTGTTGAGAGTTTCGCAAACACTTGGTTTGACGAAATCTTCACGTTCATCAACTGTGCATCGCAATTCTGGGACTTCGTTACATTGCTAGATGTTGATAGCGGACGATATACCGGGTTGAGTCGCTCGTCAAGTCGAATGCTGAACAGTTCCGCTACCTCACTGCTGTTCAAGGGTTCTCCGGCCGGTATTTCGCACCATCATAGTCAAGTGATTCGTCATACAAATAATGTTAATTAAGAGGAGAATGAGGAGTAAAGTAGATAGCTTATCAACAGGAAGTTGGTACTCGATTTCTCTCACTTTATCAGCAACTTTGACCGAATACTCCAAGTGTGTTTGCACAGACCAAGAAAGATATTCTTTGGCGAATGGTCCCCGAAGAGAGCCAAAAGCTATAAAAGTTGAACGGTCCAGAGGACTACGAATCACCAGAAGGAAGTGTTTCCGAGTTGATAAGGTGATTGCGTCATTGCACATAGTAATTCTTGCGTCCAGTTGATTAACTGAATCGCGTTCACTGTTATGGTATGAGCGACGGGCCACTATCAGGGTTAGCCGTAGCTTAATGTCCTTAGCCCCCTAGCTGAAAGGGGTTATACACTGATCAGCTTAAGGGTATGAAGACGGCTTATATACAATCACAGGGTCAAAACTGCTAGGAGTCCATAGACAGTTCAACCACTTTTTCACCTACAAGAATCGAAACTGCTTGAGTTGTGTAACGGTACATTTTTCAGCGTCATATGGCTTTCTTGCAGTGCTCTGTAACAAGCCAACATAGGACACTGATGGTGGCTCATGATAAAACTGGCAAGCAACCTCAGCATCGCCTGTCTGATAATTCAGTCAAGCCACCTTTCAAAAATGCCATTGGAAGTCTGTTTAGCCTCCAAATGCCTTAGGCGTGGTAAAACGGATTGTCTTCTTGTTACTGTAGGCTGATTTTTCTTCTGCACGCATGCTAATCCCTGCCATTAGTCTGATACCAATGGCTTCCGCCTAGTCCAGCATATTATGACAACCAATAGTGTTCTGCAGAGTGACATATATAGAGCGTCTGTACACCATGAACAGTACTTCTGTCCTGGGTTTTTCCGCGTTGAGTTTCCGTGAATTCCATAAAGTAACATAATATCTTTGTAATTTGATTATTCGTGTGGATAGTCGTGAGGAGGGGAAATGACTTTTTTACTGATGGTGTAAATATGCAAATATCGTCTGGCAGACCAACCGCTAGAGCGTTTAGTCCTACCTTTAGGAACGGCCCATCCTTATTGCTTTGGATGAGTTGCCTAGGCTTAACAATATGATCGGCTGCGAGGATGAAGACCTTCTCGTCCCGGGCAACTCGTGCACGCAAAGGGGATAGGAGATGGCTCCTACTAAGCAAGTTAGACCAAAAAAACTGCAGTTAGCTACTAGATATCTATTACCAGACTCATAGGGTGAGCTAACGAAGGCACCGTTCTAGTCCCTGAGTGACGTCGACTGACTTACAAGAGCTTACTTGGGTTGGTGTTACCCAGAACGCGACTACTTTTATAAGAATCACTGTACACCAGCGCCAAAAACTGGTCAGTACCTTGCCTACATGTAACTGGTGAAAGCAAAGGGCAAGTAAAAGGCGTTAGATAGCAAGCCTGACGCAAAAACAGTGCCCTGCCAGCGTTTCGAAACTATTTCGAAGAAGAAATCATGATTTATCTATCTAAAGTATAAACTGTGGGTATGCAGCTGCTGGTGAGCTAAAAGAAGATCAAAGTCGATGGCATTTATGTACGGATGTCCAGACATTACGACAGAATTTTTAAAAATAAGAGCATAACCCAACGATAATATTGAGACATCCAAAATATTCATTATCCTTTTAAACCCAATGGTTCTTCGCAGGGAGGTGCTCTTCGACTGTGCGATGAAACGAAAAGTCCGGATAAAGGGTCCGATGATAACATCAATAATTACTGATGAAACGCGGGGATTAATATTTTCTCAGCTGTGATGCTCACCGCGGTTAAGACACTTCAGTGGTTGTAAGATAACCTCCTTTTCAGTGAGCGTCGGTCCCATTCACGGAATTTCACCGAAGAAAATAGTCTCCCAACCCTAAGTGTTGACGTCGTTGGCTGGACCGAATTGATCGATCTTTATCGACATAAAGGCTTCCGCGCTGAGGCTCGATACTGCCTGCGTTTCTGATTTTGATAGTGGTGACAGACGATGGCTAGAAATGGAACCACACAAGGTACATCCGCTACACAAGGAGGGGCTATTGTGACTCGATGGCCTGGTGGATAACGTTCTGGCATATGAAACCATCGGTTCCAGGTTTCAGTCTAAGTGGGAACGCTATTGCACGGGTTCAAAATGGAAAGGAAAAGCGTCCTGTGTTCCACTACTAGCCACCAGCCATCAATAACTGAATGCTACTTCTAGAGGAAGCCCCGTTGAGTTTGTAGCGTCATACACTTCCCCAAAATCAATAGCCTGTTCCATTTTATATTTGTTTATTGTTTTCATTTCGATAACATTTATATATCCATTTACTACACTTTCTCATGTCCGACCACACTCCCAAGCTTATTCGTATTAAGCCGACCTCGAACACGATCCAACTCGTGCCATATTGGCCAGACAATGCAGAAACATGGTTTCTGTATGCCGAGGCCGATTTTCGAGAACAGGGTGTCTCAGATCCTCATCTCGATTTCTTGCTGTCATACG